ATGTATGTTTTACTTTACAGATTATTGTTTTGTATTTACAAAGCAGTAATTTTGATTCTGATTCTTACAGAACGTTTTCACAGTGGAAACTAACTAGAATTTTCTAAGTGGAAAAAAGTCAATAGCAGCAGGCTCATTTCTATTTCTCCCTCCCTCTGCTTACAACTTCAAATGGTACCCACTTCATGCACATGTTTAGAGTTAGACTATTCAGAAAGACTGCTCTTCGAGGAATTTCTATAACATGCTCTCTTTTCTGCAGCTTCCATTCCTGTCACTCAGCCATCATCCCAGGAGTTCCTGACCTTTAATGTTCCAGATCACATCTTTCTCAAAACACCTGGACTGCCACTTCCCCCGCAAGTGGTTCCAGTGCACAGGCATGAATGCTAGGATGGGGAGCACACTGCTACAAGGAACTCAACTTCCCACAACTAAAAGACTGCTATACTTTTAGGATGACAATCTATCATTTTTTAAAGTGGGCCAGTGTAGGTGAATAGCTGCACAGGGGTGGAGACACAGCAGACAATGTTTTACTCTCCTGCTACTTACTTCTGTGATTACACTGCAGGTCCCAAACATTTCAATAGAGAACCACAGGAAGCCACAGGTCCCTAGAACCCCCAGGCACCACAGCATAACCGAGCTACACTTCTTGGGACAGTATGAGAACAGGCACTACAAGCAGCTCGCATGTGGGAATAAAACCAGTTACCCTTCATCTCTTGTCCACTATGAGGACAACAGTCAGGAAAACTGAGGGTGAGGAATGGAATCTATTTCCAGAATGAACTAAGGAAAGGACAACAGTGGTTGCTCTCTGCAGGTTTGCTCCGTACACAATATAAAACACACAACCTGAAATGTTATAGATAGGGTAATGTAGGTGAGGAAAGTATCAAATTAGAGCCAACAGTTAAAAGTAACTCTCAGATAGTATATTTCAGCTATTTACTATTTGTCAGGGATGATAAATACCAGGGATTAGGAAGTGATGAATTAAAAAACAAAAAACATCATCGTTAAAATTGCTTCAGGGAGCTAGGTATAGTAATATATACACACATATATATATACAGATAGATAGATAGACAGATAGATAGACAGATAGATATTATCCCTCCTTCTATTCTTTATATGATTTGTAAACAAAACCAAGGGGCAGGGGGACAACAGCAGGAAGGGTAACTGAGAGAAGCAAAGTAGCAATACATCAAAATGAAAACTAGAAAGCTGTGAGCCAGCGAGATGGCTCTATCCGTAAAGTCACTTGCCACAAAAGCCTATTGATTCTAGTTCGCTCCCCAGGATTCCTTCAAGCTGTCTTCCGACTTCCACACTCATGTCACAGCATGCACTCCCATACACACTATGCATACGCACACATAATAACAATACATCTAGAAAGTTTTTACACATAATTTCCACCACTGAAAACAAAAGTTCAAAACAATGAGAAGTGGGGTCTCAGATTTCATTTGACCCATGCTCTGAACTAATGAGCTTTCTAAGCCAGGCCTATGATACTTGACCTGTGCCAAAATGACCACTTCTGGGAAGTAGCCAGCATATAGGCACCTTTTACAAACTATATATGGGTATATAATCTGCAGTCTTTCTTGTATCCGAATGAACAAAACTGATCAAATACATTTTAAAGGAACAGGAAACAGCATCTTTCTTCCATGTTAGATAACTCAGAGCTAGACTTCAACTAGCAACACAAGACACCAAGATGGGAGTATTGGTTGTGGCTCTCCACACATCCTACATCAAGAAGGAAACCATGCACTGTAAGGACCTCCACTGTGCAAACCTGTGCTCACTTTTCTCACGTGAGCCTGGCACTGCTTCAGAAATGGCCTAACATTCACAGGAACTGTGAGGCTGGCTCAGTTATTCCCTGTTCTTCCTAGCCTAACCTGCCAAAAGTTAAGTAATTTGCCAAGAGCCTACTAAGTGACCCAAGTGAGACTCAAACTCAAGTCACTGGGCCTCAAGGTCTGTGGTCTTAAATCAAAACAACAAAATTAATCACCCTGAAAAATAGTAATGTTAAATTGAGTTGAAGGTTTGCAAGCAGTGAAAGAATAAGGTTCACTGCTCTTTGATAGTTTTTTTTTTCATAACACATTCTCTTTGCTTAGATTTAATGATGTATTTTTTTTAAAAAAGTCAATCAATGGAAGGCTAAAGAGGGTAATAAAAATCTTCCAGCAGCTGGTTAGGGTTTTAAGCAACCACTGTCCTAACAGCATGTGATAGTTCTGTTACAAATGTCAAAAATCTTTACTCCAATTAGCATCTCAATTAAGTTATGCCGGGATATGAATGCCTCTATTATTTGCTATCAGAACCGTCCTAAAGGGAAATGGAAAGAGGGTTACAAAAGGGTGAAGGTTCAAATAAATCTATGCCATTCAAAGAAACATACAAATAGACATCCACCAGAGCACCAACTTTAGGATATCTGAAGAATAGTTAAGAAGAACTAGAGCACAGTTATAACATTTTAAATCCATTTTTCTTTATAAAGAAAGCACTCATGTGTATATTTGTTTAAATGCCTTGCAATTGCTAACACAAAAATCAAACTGTCCACTTTGGAGAATATGAGTTGCTGATTTCACATGAACAATCTCTATGGGGAAAGATAAGTGTATAAACTACAGCAATTCTCTTAATCAGAGTTCAACAAGAAAAATTTGATTTGATCATAATCACTTTTCGTGTCCTCTGATCTTTGATTCTCTGTCCTTTTATCTTACAGCGTTAGCTGAAATACTGACTTCAATGTAACCGAAGTATTTATTACAATGTAACAAAGACCAGGAAAGTAATGTGCCTGTACATAAATTCACATTGCTTCTAGCCCAGCAGTTCTCAACCTGTGGGGGCCAGAGGATCCTTTCACAGAGAGAGCATATATCAGGTATCCTGCATATCAGATATTACATTATGGTTCATAAGAGTAGCAAAATTACAGTTACGAAGTAGCAACGAAATAATTTTATGGTTGGGGGTCACCACATAGGAACTGTATTAAAAGGGTTGCAGCATTAGGAAGGTTGAGAACTGAACACATTAGAGATTGTAAAAAGTACAAAGACCATCTTACCTACCCAAAACCACTCAAACTTTTAGAGTACAACCAGACACTCTCTAATTTCCAGCCATCAATTGTAATCAATGACAACTGTCCCATCATTTGAGGTTTGTATCCCACAATAATCAAGCTAAAGAGTATTGCATTTCTCGTTTTATTTTTAAAAAGCATTTACTTTCTGCGTCTCCTAGTGACTATTTTTAATGCTTTTGCCGGCATATAACACAATGGACTGGAGGAAACTTAACTCCCAGGTGAAGCAGAGAGAGGACCTGAGTGAGACAGACTCACAAAAACCCCTCAAACTGCCTACTGCTTTGGGGGTGACTTCCCCTGACTGCACCACCTGGCCACTTCTTTCAGGTTCAAAAACATAACGATGCCAGTCATTATGTACACACCAAATGAAACCAGCAATTGAATCCATACCACAAAAGACACTGGGTACGGTGTATAACTCCTACTAACATGAGTCCTGTGTAAATACTACGTGACACTAGTTACTGTGCATACAACTCTACAGGAAACCAGGTAGTGTGTGTTTACACAGTATAAGGCACTGGTCATGCAAAGCTTATTAACACCACCAGATACTCTGACATTTTATGACACTGGACACCCTATACAAAGACACTGTATACACAACTGCACACAATGCTAGATACTATGTGCACATCTTATCCCTCCCTCCCGGGATCCAGCGCACAGTTCAGCTGTGCAGCGGCACAGTCTGGTGTGTATACAGATTAGAGGACACTTGGGTGCATACTGCCTGTGACACTGAATGCTACTCACAAACCACACAGGACAGTCAGTACCACGGACACACGGCAAACACTAAGTACCACGGACACCAACGACAAAGTCCCATGGACACACCGCAAAGCACTCTCGGCTCGGCCCAGGAAAAAGGCATGAGGGGAGACAGCCCAAGTGAAAGTTCGGGCCACAGCCCCACAGGCAGCGTCCCCATCAGCTTTTCTCCCCAGCTCTGCGTGGGCACAAGGCGGCTGATCCGGCCGGACGGCCGGGAGGACCTGTTGAGGCAGCTGAAGCCTCGCAACCCGCTCGCCTGCAGCCCCCGGGAGACCGACGGCCACTGGTCTCGGGTCTCGGGAACCGACGCTTCCATCGCTCCCCTCCGCCCGCCACACGTTACACGCAAAGGGCCCTCGGGCCTGGCCAGGCGGGAGGCGCGGGCACCCGGCGGGAGGAGCTCACAAGACTCCGCGGCTTCGCGGCGCCAGTAGGCCGCGCGCGGTTCTCCGCGGCCTCCACCCGGGCCTGCTCCTCACGGCTGCCTGAGGCAAGAGGCACCGGACCGAGGGAAAGCGCCCAGCCCGCAGGCCTCACCGGCCTGGAGCAATCCCCGAGGCCACCATCAGCCGCCGCCCGCCCGAGAGGCCGCGGTCCGGGCAGCCGCTCAGCGCAGGCCGCGCCACCGCCACGGACGCCTCCGCCCGCCCCGCCGCCCAGCCGCCCCGCCGCCCCGCCGCCGCCGCCGAGCTTTCCCCACCATTATGCTCCGCTCCGCCGCCGCCGCCGCCGCCGCCGCGCCCGGCCCTCCCTCCGGAGCCGCCTCCTTCCCGCCGCCCGGCGCCTCTCGGGCCTCAGCCGGCGACGGGCGCGGGGGGCGGGGGGGGACGCAGGCCGCCGCCTCCTCCTCCCCGCCATCTCCTCCCTCCTCCCCGGCTCCCCCCGCTGGCTCGGCGCGGAGGGCTCGGGGCTCGAGGGGCGCCATGTTGGCGGCGGCTTTCACCACAGAAAATGCCTCAGCGCGCGCCGGGGCGAAGCCTGGTGAGGCGGCCGGGGCGTCGCGCGCCGGCTGGAGGCCTGGACCGCCGCGCGCACTCGCTTGCTCGCTCGCTCGTTCGCTCTCTCGCTCACTCACCGCGTCTCCTCAGCCCGACGGCGGCGCGGGGCCTGCGGGGCTGCAGAGGACGCCCGTGGGGGAAAGTTGACGGTCCCCACTAAGCGGTGGCTCCCATGGTGCGGGCGCGGCGGCCGGCCGGGCTCGCAGCCTCCTCGGAGTTCATTGTGTGCGCTCGAGTGTTTCCCCGCGCGGGGCCGGGCCGGGCAAGCGGGGCCTGGGCCGAGCCGCGCACGGGGGGCTCTAGCGGCGGGCGCGGGACTTGCGCGGCCCGCGCTGCCTCCCCGCCCCGAGGCCGGGGGAGCCCGCCGCACCCGCTCCTACCTTCCCTCGACCTGTCTTCGGCGCCTCTCTGCGAAATCGGTTTCAGCCTATTCTAAGGGGTCCACACACGAACTCCATATCAACACACACGTGCAAGCTACGTACGTGCAGGCGCGCTGGAGCCGAGCACCGAGACACGAGGGTAGCATTGTTAGGATCGGGCCAAGCCCGGTGGGCTGCGACGCGGCTCGCGGGGTGGACCCGCTCCACACTGGGCTTGGTTCCTAAGGGCTCCGTGTTGGACCAGCACTCGCCCGTGTACTGACTCGAGTAGGTAAGATAGTCTCCCTCTTTTTCCAACCCTGTGCTCAAAAAAAAAAGAGTTGCAAGACACCCAAGTTCCCCCGTCCCGTAGATGCACAAATGGACCATTTAGAAAGAATGGACCACCCATTACCAGTCTGGCTAGAACATTACAGATTGCTGTGAGAAGCAGGTTATCTTTTTTAGTGAGGAATTCTAGATCTAATCAGAGGAGATCCCTTAAGCTATATGGCTTTAAAAAGTCTTGGGGGTAAAAGTAGCAGAGATAAAAGCACATACAGATGTCATACAATGTCCTAATAACCTTTGCCTGCTAGAGTTTAAAAGGGAAACCCTACTGGCCAAAATTGCTTGCCCCTGTTCTCATCGGATATATGTGCCTGAAAAATCATTGGAGACGCCTCTAGAAACCTGGGGTTCTTAAACAAATTATCCACCTGTTTACAGAGCTAAGAACTGAGAAATGAATGGCATTGAGTTGGCCTTTGAAGTACACCAGTCAAACATGGTCTTTCAACCCGTTAACAGCCCTGGCACTGATAGCCGAATCTCCTAGAGTAGTGTTTGGGTGTTTTGTTGTTTGTTTTGTTTCTGGCTTTTTTCCCCCCACTTCAAAGATCATGAGATATTTCGATTCATTCAAATAACAAAATAAGGCATGACTGGGCAGCAAGATTGCTCATCAGACAAAGGTGCTCACTACCCGACAATCCAAGTTCAATCCCCAGGACCTGTACATATGGTGGAATGAGATTAAATGCCATTAAAACTAGATAGAGGGAAATCATGCCATATCTGATTGGAACGCTGGGCTGGGAACCACCTGTTTAAGTGAATCACCTTTTTAAAAGGTCGTATTTCAGCTATAGAGGAATGCCTACTTCTATATTTTTATGTATTTTACAGAGGCCACTCAAGCATCTTTCTGTCTCTCTCTCTCTCTCTCTCTCTCTCTCTCTCTCTCTCTCTCTCTCTCTCTCTCTCTCTCTCTCACCCCCCCGCCCCGCGCGCGTGTGTGTGTGTGTGTGTGTGTGTGTGTGTGTGTGTGTTTGAATCATACCTTTTAGGAAAGAAAAGGACTGTATAATTCCCCCCCCCACCTTGCACCCCAGTTATACCGAATAGAAATCACTTCTTTTTTTGTGTACACTTCTCTTAGATAACCTGTCCCTAAGATTAGGAAATTCCTTTGCTCTGGTTTCCCAGCCCAACAGCATCATTAACTGCATTTGTCCGTCAGCTGGGCAAGTATATGAGAGTGGGTCAGAAGGCCAGTGGCTAGAGGTTAGGAGAAGGTCTGGAAGACCAAAATAATATAGTTGTTTCCATGCAGCCTGTGACATACTCTGGATTTATGTACTAAGTTGTGAAAAGAAGGCAAAAGGTTGAGATTCTGAGGGAAGAAATTGGGGACAGGAGGAATGGTGGACTTGAGGGATGATTTGCATCCCTCCAGATGTGTTTCACAGACTGTGGGAACACAGCCCTTCCTTGGCCCCAACCAATAAACTCTGTGCCTCATAATATCTATTCAGCAGATTGCTTTTTTCACATTCAACTTAGAGAAAAGTCATAGACATACAGTAAGCAGCAATTCAAGCAATTAAAAGTGAAAATTTTGTCCATTGAGGAATTATATTCTTACCTTATATAATACTCTTTTTTTTTTCAAAGTCCAAATGACTTATGTCATATTAAAAGTGAAAATTTTGTCCGTTGAGGAATTATATTCTTACCTTATATAATACTCTTTTTTTCTTTACAAAGTCCAAATGACTTATGTCATATAAAAACTGAAATATTTTCCAAAGCTAGGAAAAACATACAGATGAATATTTGTGAGATTTTGAGTGGAGAAAAACTATCCAAAATTCTCCAGGAATGGGTTGGGGTGTGTGTGTGAAAGAAAGTCACACCCACTCTGGTAGACTAATAAATCTGATTCTATAAAAGTGTATAAAATCATGTCCAAAAAGTGTGGTCTCTAAAATATATCCATGAGAAGTTCTTTCTTATGTACTTTCTCCTGGTTTCTCTCATAGTAATTAAAGTTGTGTGTGTGTGTGTGTGTGTGTGTGTGTGTGTGTGTGTGTGTGTGTGTGTATTGGAACCCCAGAAGAGTCATACTCACTGCCATCGACAGTAGAAGCCTCTTGTGACCTTCTGAGAGTTCCTGGCTTGCTAACTGCTAACTGTTGTAATAGTTCAGGCCCCTGCCACTGAAGTGCAGTGTTTTCTGTTTTGCTTTTACTTTTATTCTTGGTTTTAAATCTGTTTTGTATTAAGGGTGAATGACATAAAAACTGAGTCATATAGATATCCCTCCTCCAAAAGCACAGACTGAGGGCATAGTGTAGCACTATCTGTGTAAAGCCCCAGGAACACAGAAAAAAAAAAAAGCATGTTGCAGGGAAATAAGTGAACAGAAAGCATCAGGTTGTGGTCAGGTTACTAATGTAAAACGTCATTCTCTGCAACGAAACTTTCCTGAAGCTCAATCTAAAGAGATCTTCCCTGGATCTTTCTCCAAACCACAAGCTAATTTATCATCCTACAGAGAAACACATCTAGGTACACAGTACCCATTAAATGAAAAATGCTGCAGGGAAAGTTGCTAGTCTCATTTGAAAGCAAAATGCTGTTAAGATATAGTTTTAATAACATAATGCCAGTGGCTCTGTCATTTAGGTATTACACCTTTTTTTTCTTTGGTGTGTGTAGGTGTGTGGTGCATGCATGTGTGTGGGAAGGTGTACAAGCACATGCTGGGCAGAGATTGACTTCAGAATATCTTACTCAATTGCTTCTCCACCATGTGTTTTGAGACAGGGTCTCTCAATGAACCTGGAGTTCACTTTCAGCTAGGTAGGCTGACCATTAGCCCCTGGGACCCATGTCTCTGCCCACTCTCCCAACCCCCAGTACTGGGCGTAGAGACATGCCGCTACATTCAGCTGTTACCTGGGTGCTGGGGATCTGAACTCAGGGCCTCATTGCTTGCACAGAGAATACTTCATCCAATGAGCCATCTTCCCTGCCTGTAGTTTTTCTTAATGTACAGTAATTAAAATTCCATGGCAAAAGGATTATGTGATGTTTAGGTATACTGTGACTATTATTTGTACAATAGTAGCTAGGGATAGTAAATGAACTAAGGATTGTTAAATACACAACACCAGGCAAGCTCTGCCCTATCCCATCCTAAAGTCAAGGAGACGGGATACTTGAGGACACAGGCTGCTCCCTCAATGTCCCAGGTATATTTCCAACTCCTGTGGTTCCCCTCCTAACAGCCAGGTTTAGAGCAGATTTCCGATCCCCTAACTCCAGGCTAATTGCTATAGGAGAAGAGCTCCAACCATTCCAGCCCTCATGCACACCTTTAGGGAGGCCTGTTAAAACTCCACTCTCAGCAGGCAGCACCTTGGACTAGTTATGTAACTTTTGGCAAGTAGCAACTTCTCCCCATGTCAGCTCCCTCTGTAATTGAAGGGGGCTTACTAATTGCATGTTATGTTCCCATTAGCACAGACTTTTATGAACTTCAGAGTTCCAGAATCATTGGTCCTCCAATTCCTACTGTCTGATTTTGTGGTGGTGGTGGTGGTGGTGGTGGTGGTGGTGGTGGTGGTGGTGGTGGTGGTGGTGATGGTGTGTAAGTGGATGTGGGTATTTGATCACATGCATGCACAAAGGTACATGTAGAAACCAGCACTCAATCTTGGGTGCCATTCTTTAGGCCACTTGTTTTGCTGAGATAATGTCTCTTACTAGCCTGGAACTCAACAAGTAGGCTATGCTGGCTGGCCAGCAAGCCCCAGGCATCTGCCTGTCTCTGCCTCCTGAGAGCTGTGATTGCAAGCATTTACCACCACACTCATTTTTTTAATGTTGGTTCTGGGGACCAAACTCATGTCCTGCTGCTTATGTGGCAAACACTTTACCAACTGAGCAATCTCTCCAGCCATCTGCTCTCTTCCACTAGAGTCTTCTAAGGTCCTTTGTAAAATGCTCTTCGCTGGGATAGTCTCACGTGTTCTGTGCGCTCTTGGTTCTCTTTCTCCTTGGCTGCCTTCTGTCTTTCTCCCTGCTTCTGTTTTGTTGGTGGAGTTGAAAACTCCCATCATATGTGATACTTCTCAGCCTCTGTACCAGCGCTGTGGGGCTGGCCATTCTGTGTTGTTGAGCCTGTCACCCCGTGGGAAAGTAGGTGCTCCTGGAGAGACTCCTTCTTGGTTTCGAACTCCTTGTTCTCTTCCTGTCCAACAGCCAGGACAAGAACAGATTTCATGTGGATGTCACGGCCACATGTCAGGAAATTCTTGTCTTCGTGTGAACATTTTGACAGAGGAAGACAGGCTTCAGAGGTTTCTCAAGGCAAAAAAAAAAAAAAAAAAAAAAAAAAAAAAAAAGGCAGCGTGCCTTTCCTCTAGGTGTCCAAACTGTTGAATCACCAACGTCTCTCAGAGCCTCCCTATGAAGAGCCCCTGCCGGGGCTTGGCTTTGACTCAGGTCATGAAGTGAATGACCTGCAAGCAAGAGGATTTGCAGTTAGACTCCTAGAATCCACAAATCCTCTGGAGTGGTGGTGTGCCTTTGTAATTCTGCGCCGAGGAGACAAAGACAAGAAGACCCCCAGAGCTCACCAGCCAGCCAGTCTACCCCATCACTGAGCTGGG